TAGATCAAACACATGCTACCGCACACTGTTAGATCAAACACATGCTAATGCACACTGCCAGATCAAACACATGCTGCTGCACACTACCAGATCAAACACATGCTGCTGCACACTGCCAGATCAAACACATGCTATTGCACACTGTCAGATCAAACACAATCCCACACTATTAGATCAAACACATGGTATTGCACACTGTCAGATCAAACACATGCTACTGCACACTGTTAGATCAAACACATGCTACCACACACTACCAGATCAAATACATGCCAATGCACACTGCCAGATCAAACACATGCTAATGCACACTGCCAGATCAAACACACTATCACACATTGTTAGATCAAACACACTATCACACACTGTTAGATCAAACACACTATCACACACTGTTAGATCAAACACATGGTATTGCACACTGTCAGATCAAACACATGCTAATGCACACTGCCAGATCAAACACATGCTACCACACACTGCCAGATCAAACACACTATCACACATTGTTAGATGAAACACACTATCACACATTGTTAGATCAAACACACTTTCACACACTGTTAGATCAAACACTCTATCACACACTGTTAGATCAAACACATGCTAATGCATACTGCCAGATCAAACATATGCTATTGCACACTGTCAGATCAAACACATGCTACCACACACTGCCATATCAAACACACTGTACCACCCACTGGCAGAATAAAACAGGCCACCAACAGAGCACACAATGAGTGACTGACACCTGTTATACTTCTAGTTTATGATCTTTAAAGACCTTTTAATTAAAGTTATCCGCTAATGTTATTCCTGACCTTTTGCCCTTCTTTCCATCTCCACAGAGCCTGGAGACAGACCTCCCGTGCTGCTCATTGGAAGCACCCGGCACATTGCCGTCACCTACCTTAATGGATCCTCGGTACCCAGCCTGAAGTCGCTGAGTACGAATGGCACACATGCCATGGACATTGACTACAACCAGGAATCGGTTTGCTGGGTCACGTCCACTGAGCCTGGCAGGCAGCTACGGTACAGCAGGATGCGGAAGCTGAAGAGCTTTTCCGAGGAGCGGACAAGGCGATTCGGCCAGAATCTGCAGAGTAAGCGCACTGTAGGAAATATTCTCAGGATATATATTAGGGTGGGGTGAAAAAATCGAAATTTCCAATAGCAATTTCCAATAGTACGGAAAAGTTGTCACTGGACCTCGTTATTAAACGTGCAAAATATCTTTGAAATAGGTTAATATTCTCAGGTTCCGCAACGCCATCGAAGTTTTCACCTGTCACATCAATGGGCAATATACACTATCCATTATCTATGCTCATCGCTGTTGTGTGTGTGCACTTTCACAACATGATAATCACTACAAAATACCAACGTTCAGGTAACACAGATTTTTGCTGGGTATCAGCCATACACATACAGTACTTTGTGTGTGGCCAAGTGTGCAGTAAGGCAGCTTCCCACTGGGAACCTTACTTATAGATGAAGGTTCCACTCTTCTAAACCAAATGCTCATCTCTGACTTATGAGAATACCCCCTTCATCTTCACAGTATGATATCTCAAGCTTTCATGTTATGACCGATTATAGTCTGACACAATTGCACCTTGATTGTAATTAATTATGTATTGCTGGGAATTTTAAATTGAGATTTGATTTGAAATTGGAAGCACTCCCAGCCTCTGTACATCATCGATTGGAAGCAAATCAGTAGTAGCAGGGATTCTTATCAAAGAGAGTTATTTTTCATCATGACAGTTTTACTACTTTAAGGTTTCTGACTTCTAGTTCTTTTACTAAAAAATCTTTTGGAATAGTTTCTGTTTCCTTCAGTCTATGAAGATGGGGCAAATTAGGTAATTGCAATTCTGGGTGTCTTCAGGTAAGCAGACCTGGCATCTTGACAGCTAGATAACACTCAATCCCAGAAGACTCATCTAGGGACAGAGTCGACAAAGTTATGTATACATTTTGTAGTGGATGAATATGCAATGAAGTCTTCTAACCAACCGCGCTTTGATGTGATAATTTGTTTTTTTTTCTTCTAGTAAAGGAGATTTGAAATTTCAGATGTGGATTTGATTTGATTTTCCACTGTGTTAATGACCTGAAGAAAACTGTTTATTCAAAGCAGCTCAATATACAGGCTTATTATTCATCAAGAGACTGCTAATTAATTTGGAGTACAAGTCAAACTTCCTCCACAATGCACTCCTTGGGAACAAGAATTGTTCTCTATAAGGATTTAGGTTAATGAAAATTATTTAAGTATTCCTCTATACTTGTTTTTTCAGTTTGTCAAATTTCATGTGACTGAAAATCAGGATATATTGATTTATAATAAAGAAGACCTTTATTGTATTGTAATGCTGATACAGTAGCTACAACCTTATTAAAGAATTTTCCTTCTATCAGTTGAGTTTCACGGCTTTATCTGGTCATGGAGAGAAATATGACCACTGAATCCACGACCGAATCAGTCCGCTTAACGGAACACCTTGCCCAAAGACAGCATTTCCACTGGCTGCTGCTCGTTGCAGAAACTGTGTTATGTTCCTCACAGTGGCTGATGCCCACGCTCACTGTCTCTCCTGTGGTTCAGACATGGTTCTGCTAAAAGAAAGCAAAATTACACCAAATTGTAATATGCCCTGAAAACCTTGTCACATCCGCTGGGATCATAGGCAGGTCTTTTGTGCCATCTCTGAGTATGCTATTCAGCCACATGTGAATTGATAATCCCATGTCACTTTTCTCTGTTTGTATCATTAATTGCACAATTCATTACAATTAAAATTTCACCACTGAATCGTTCCAAACCAAAATAAAATTAATGGTCTTTATCCAGCACTTTTCTCTCTGCCCGTATAGTCTTCACTGGTCAGGGCGTGGTTACCAAAGAATTAGTTTTTTCTTTTACTGTTTTTCATTTTCAGATGTGGAACAAATGGCCGTTGACTGGCTGACTGGGAACTTGTACTTTGTGGACCGGGTCAGTGACCGGATATTCGTGTGCAATCAAGGCCAAGATGCCTGTGTGACCATCATTGACCTTGACCTTCAGAACCCAAAGGGAATCGCACTGGATCCACTGATGGGGTAAGACAGGGGGGGCGTAATTGCCCTGCTCCCCCCTCAACCAGAATGCTGCCCCCTTTTTTTAAGCTTGATTCATCGTGTGCTCGTCACCCAGGACGATGATTCGGTGATTCACTCTGTAGCATGTGTGATAGAAACAAGGACACATTTTACAAAGTTTCCAAGCCATTTATCGGTTTTAAAGGAAGGAGAAACAAATCAAGCATGAATCCAATAAACCAATACATGACAATTTTCAAAAATAGTTTGGTCGCAGCTGATTATTTCTGTTTCCCGACTGTGTATATTGTGCATTTTAATCACAAAGATTTCTATTCCGTGGGAGATTGAGATTGGAGACATCTTAAAGATTATAGCCTGGGGCCAAGGCTAAAATCCAGACTAATAGAGGATTTGATCAATAACGCAGCAGCTTAGAGTGCTGCCTGGTTACGTGTGGATGCCTTACTATAAACCAAAGAATAAGGTCTGCAAGCCAGATGCTATAGCCCACATCCTCTATTAGTTGTAAACTAACTGCAGTGAATATGTTATTTTTAATTAGGCATGTGCAATGCTGTGGACCACAATCTTAGTCAGGATGTACCCCCGCACCCAGACCTCCCCAGAAGCACAGCGCCCCCTATGGGACCATTCCATGTTTAGTCACCCACCGTATTTCATACTCTTGCTGACTTTACTAGCCTATTTGCAAGCACCCCAAAGCTGTTTGTACCCTACAGCTGGCTCTCTCACCTTTACTTAAACGTCTAATGTTTGTTTATTAATGGCACATTTTTTATTCCTTCTGTTTCTAATTTTAATTCTTATTTTTTATTATTCATTTATCATTATTTTGTGTATCTTTGTATTGATGGTGTGTTTAAATTGTATACTTCACCCCACCACCTGCACCAAAACAACTTCCTAGTTTTCCTAGTCAGTGACCGGATTCCTTCCTAGTTTTTGCGAATAAACAACCCCCTGCAGTTGGAAAATAATTGGATGGATGGATGGATGGATGGATGGATGGATGGATGGGTATTTAGAAGCTGATGATTACTTTTTCTCTAGTTAGTCTCTTTGCAATAGAGGTTCTGAGGAAACATTGCCATTCGTTTTACCCATTATAAGTATTAGTAAGTCAATGTTAGTGATGCCATGAATCATATTCAATAATATTATCCTCTTTATTTTCAACACTGTTGTATTTATCTGCATCTTTAATCTTGCTTTTTAAAGAGCCAAACTAATTCTCTAAGGAGAGAGGTCTAATTATGATAATAATGCTATTTGCTCCTGAAAGACCTTCACTGGATTTCATTTTCACCCTTAATATTTAAGATTGTAGCAAATATAGAGGGAGCATAGGCATCTATTTGGGTTTATAATGCTGCAGGTGTTTTTGGAAGTACAGTAAACGAACAAGGAGTTTGTAAGGATGACTTATAGTGTCGCACAGATTTTACATTTGTTGCGTGTACTTGGCAGATGGCAGGTGTGTTTTGAACTTGGGGGGGGGGGGGGGGCGGGGCTTGCTGAAATGCAGGCACACCCTGAGAAGTGTGCTGCTTCACTAATTCGGTGACTCCCACTGTAGTATCACACTGCTTTTTTTTGTCGCATGAATGGTGCACGACTTCACAGTGCTTTTATATAACGATATCCTAACTGCACGTACACACTGTGATTCTTGTGAGCTGGAAACCTTTGTAGAATTCCAGCAGTTTAATGGAGACCTTGTGTTTCACATTGTGAAGCACTGCCTCACCCAGCTTGTTTTTTCCCTTCATTATCAGTAAGCTGCGTGACTATTTTGGCCGTTACCATCTCATAGTTTGGAGAAACAGTCATGCCGTCCTTCCCGGCAGAAAGGCAAAACTAAAAAAACAGTAGTAAAGCAATCTTTTTTCTAATTTCGTATCAGTAATTGTATTCTTTTTATAAATATAATGGATGTTTATCTTCTGAACAAAGTGAGTGATGTCTAGGGGCATGTTGACAAAGCTGCAAAGTCACATTCATCTGATTCCTTTATTTGATTTATTGTGGCTGAAACAATCGATCCCTGTTGTCATGCAACAGGTAAAAACACCTGTATGACTGAAGCCTAGATCCAAAGAGGCTTGTTAAAGGTGCTATAAAGTGCATTTTCACAGTATTTTAAATTGTTCTCTGGTGTCTACACAGATGATATGTGAACTTGATTTGGTCTAAAATGCCCAGGAGCAGTTTTATAGTCCAATTTATAACCCTATTATTTAGCCCTAGAATGAAACAGGTCATTTCTTTCTTTGTTTTTTTTGATGGGCTCATTAATATGTTGATTGCCTGGTTTACAGTGAGGCACTGACATGGCTTACACAGAACGAACACCTCTACAGTCATGCACTGCCTAATGATGATGGTCAATGATGGACCGCATATACAACGGTGGTCCCATGAGATTATAATGGAGCTGAAAAATGACCTAGTAATGTCATAGTTTAACACATTACACACGTGTTTGTGCTGATGCTGGTGTAAACAAACCTACTACGCTGCCAGTAGTGTAAAAGTATAGCACATACAATTATGTATAGTACATAACACTTGATAATGATTAAAAAAAACTATGTTACTGGTTTATGTATGTACTATGCTGTACTTTTTATCATAATTTTAAAATGTACTCTTTCTTCTTTGCCATACATAGGTGTAACACTCCCACTTCAGCCTCAACCTGTTACCAGAGTCATAACTTTGTTTTTAGCATTGTAACAAGAACATTGTTACATTTTGCATATAAGTCAACAAATAATTTTACGATGCTAGCTTCCTCAGTCAGCAATGGCTGACAGATGCACTTGTGGAAAATGTATACGTGTGCCCCTCAAGAGACAATATATGTGTTGGAGGTCCATTTGGCTTAAAAGTGGGATGGTGTATTTTAAGTTTGGGGGTATAATTAAGACTGTTACGTAACAGTTTTGGATTTTTGAATCAGCCTGTTTTATCACCTCCTTTTACACATGCAAGATTTATATTTGGAAGAAGGAACAGCAATATCTGAGACTCTCAGTATGTCAGTTCCTTGTACTGAACTCTCCTTATTCAACTGTGGTGAAGTAAGATTTCCGCTCTATGGCACCTGTAAATGCTGACCTCTCTCTACTTCTGGATGCCGTTTTGTTCCCATTTTCATGGCAACTATTCATTCATGCGTGATGCCACCGGGCAGCGGCAGATGCCAGGCCAGCCAGGACATGTGTACCCTGAGTTAGCCTGGCATCGGGCCTGTCTGTGTCATTTCGGCGTAATCGGTGATGGCAGATGCCGGTGCGCAGAAACATAAGCGGCCTTCTGGGCTGCCATCTTCTGATGGGGAGCTGTCTCAGCCAGCCAGTTTCACTTCATCTTGGACGGGAGGTGGAGCTTGCCTAGGGCGCTACGTGGGCGTCACCTGGCACTACGCTGTGTGCAGGCCGATGAAGCACGGGGTGCGGCCTGGGGTGGCGACAGGGGAAACGCAAACGGCAGGGCTTCGCATGTAAGGGAGACATTATTCACAGAAGCCAGTACAGATTAGCTATGCATTGTTTACCTCCTTTAAATTGAAGTCTGGGAATCTAAAATGTGAAACAGAATAGCTTTTTCATTACATTCACATGAAGATCTTTCCACTTCTGCATTTTCGGTGAGAACTTTCTGCAAGTGTTACCGTGCACTTCTTTCTTTCCTGGTACTTAATGTACACACTGGGCACACACTGCACAGTGACAAGGTGTTAAGGGCTACAGTCCCAACCCTGCCTTAATTAGGATAAACATGTCACACTGAGCGCCACGGAGAGCTGCAGAAAAAGCCGTGCGCATACGTGTCACATCGCAAAACCTTAGCATACTTTGCATGTGATGCAGAGTCAAAGCCCTGCGTTCGCTGCAGCTGATGGAAGATTTTCTTTATTAGTAAAGAAACAGGTCATGTCATACGTCTCCTGTTGGGATTAAAAGAGCTATTTTCACCTTGTTGTCAGTTATGACTACAAGCCGTTCACCCTGTTATAGATGGATTATCAGAATATGTACAGCATATACATGCAAACCACGCACAGCTTCTCTTTCATCTGAGTCATCATTGATGTTGAGCACTCCCCTCAGCGAATCAAGTCGTTCCCTCTGTACCTGTCAAAGCTTAATGTTACACGTTTGTCTTTAACATCATGCATTTCTCACCTGGCTTCACAGGAACGCCTGGCTTCCTCCGCATGTCCTGGCCTCGGATCCGCTGCCGGCAGTCTGACATGCCCTCATTTCTCTCTAACCATGTATTTATTCTTTCCCTTGCTGGAGTCAAAGAGCCAGGGAGTATTTCCTTTAAATGAGGTCCTGGGTGTATTTATTGAAAACTAATCATGGATTTAATTTGATTTCAGGCAGCTGCGTGGTGGGTCTTTCGTTAAACGAGTGTTCCTTTTCATGATATGTGGGGGGGGGGGGGGTTGAGGGAGTGGGCTGTGGCCAGGGAGGGGCCACAGCTTTAGACTCCCCCGTCATGAGCAGAGCTCACTGCAGCTCTTCCATGATGCTCATACTTCTGTGTTCTGCTCTCTAGCCTGCAGCCATGATGCGATTCTCACTTAGATTTTCCAATTGCTTGCACATGTCTGGATGTATAAGAAAGAGGTGTTTTACATTATAAAGACAGTTTAAAGACTGACTGTTCAATTTAACAGGCAAATGCAATGGTTTCTACTAAGAGCCAAAGCTTATTCTATATAATATTGGAAAAACAAATTTTAACTGTTTTCAAAATAGTCAGACTTTGTCCATGGGATATAGATTTCTGACTATTTTTATTGTAATTTAAAGGAAAATGATAATTTATTCCCCCGCCCGAATTCCTTCCCCCTGTGACATATGGCTCAGCTGTTTGACCGGTGATGCAATCCCAGTGATCCAGTTTCAAGGTAACCTGTAAGTTTCAAGTGCACACTTACCGTGGCAGAAAGAGTGCATATCAATAAAGTGCACCCTTACCGT